ATGTATTCTTTACCAGCGAAATATTTTTTGTACCTTGCAGTATTGTACATCATCAAAAAGCTGGTTTTAGGGTTTTTAAGCATATTTTTATATTTTGTCAAAATTTAAATTTTTTTCCACTTTGGAGCCTTGCAATTTTATACGTCAGAAACAAATTTTCCTCAAATTTTCTTTTATAGGTTCAAACTCGGTCGTGGTGCAGCAAAGTTGGCTCGAAACGTTATTGAAAGCTGAGGTAAAGTAGTGTTGGTGAATCAAGAGTGCAAACGTGGTTCTGGAAATTCCGATCTGATAATTTCAACCTCGAAGATAGGGAAGGCTGCGGACCTACCAGAGAACTTGACGACGACGAAATTGAGGCACTAGTGGTAGCAGACACGCGGACATCTGGTCGAGAACTTTCAAAACAACTTGGCGTAAGCACAGGAATAATTTTCGTGGGTGCCGCACAATTTAAACGATGATCAAAAAAGTCGCTGTTATGAAGTGTTGACTGCTCTTATTCTTCGAAACAAAGACGACCCTTTTCTTGGTCGAATTGTGACATGCGACCAGAAATGATTCTGCACGACAACCGGCGATGTTCAGTTCAATGGTAAGATTGCGATCAGTCTCTAGCACCTCCCAAACCCGAAGCTGCACCAAAAAAGTTGTTGTGACTGTTTGGTGGTCTGCAGCCGTGCTGACTCATCATAATTTTGAATTTGGGCGAAACGATTACGACAGAGAAGTGTTGGCAACAAATCGACGAAATGCACCGTAAACTCCAACGACAACGATCAGCATTATTCAGTAGAAAAGGAGCAATGCTTCTTCACGACATTCCCGGCCTGACGTTGTGCAACCAGCGCTGCAAAAGTTGAATGAGTTGGGCTACGAAATTCTGCCTCATCTGCCATATTCAACAAACCTATTGCCTATCTCTTCTTCAAGCACGTTGAGAAGTTCGTGCGCGAGAAAAGCTTCACCAACCACGATGACCCAAAAAATGCCCTCAACGAATTCCTCGCTTCCAGAACTCCAGAATTTCATGGAACTGGAACAAACAAACTTGTTTATCGTTGGAAAAATATACAGATTTAAGTGGTTTTCATTTCGATTAATTAAGTTTTATTGGAAGTAAGTTTCCGCAATGTTCACTTTTACATCTAGTGCCTACTACAGGTTTCACGGTAGGGTATTATGCGAAATCAACCATAGCGATACTGAGGTATTCGCAGAACTTGGACCCTGGGCCAGATCGAACCACGGTTTTTCTTTCCAGGGGCTCTCGCTACATACTTGCCATGGAGGCCATTGCTCTACGTTTTTCTCGGCTAGTTTTCTATCTAGCAGTGCCATCAGCAATCGTCAACGGGATTGATTTGGGAGCCCATATCGGCAATGAAACCATTTAAGCTGAGGCTGCAGTCGAAATCACTGCCTCAAGATCTCCGTGGGGCAATGTTTAATGCGCGAGCCAGCAAATGGATGTTCGATTTGACCCGGGGTCCAAGTTTTGCGAATATCTCATCATCGTTGTGGTTAATTTCGCATAATACCTTACCGTTAAAATTGTAGTAGGTAGTAAATAAGAAAGTAAACACTGTGATTTTGACTGAAGCCTCAGTTTAACTTGTTTCAATGACGATGTGTGCTCACCAGATCAATCTCGTTGACGGGTGATTGCTGATGGCACTGGTAGACAGGAAAATACCTGAGAGTAACGTATGTTACGATATTTTAAATAATATCGTTAAGAACTCCCATTTATTTCTGAACAAGCTGATACATTTTCTGTCATTGAAAATTTTTTCTCTACCTCTATCGTGATTTCACCTTGATTTCATCTCATTTCATTTCATTTCGTTTCGTTTCTCGCGCCAATCCATTTTTTATCTTCATACGTCTCCCTTTCTTCTTTAGTTTTAGTCCTTATAAACTATCTCTGAAAAACAGCAGTAATTCCATGTCTAGTTCGATCGAGTCGCAAGATCATTCTCGTCCTAAAATACTTTCAATCACTGGACAGAAATTTTTCTGTAGTCCTTAGGAGAGGATTGCCTATTATTACAACTTGGGAACGCTTCTCCAAACAGCTGTTCTGAGAACAAAACATAGAGGGAAAAAACACGTCGTGTTGATTAATTCCTTAACGATGCATCAGTTCTAATTATCGTAATCAATGAGACCACACAAATGAAATTCCTGAATTCTATGGAAGAAGACGAACACATCGAACCCTTAGCCAGACAAAATTTTTTCATCAGCGTCGTGTTAGCTTATCAATGAAAAGATTTTTTATTTCTATATGATCCATAGGGCTCATGTGGTGCAGTAGTCGGAAGAGTCCTGCGACACCCACGTGGAATCAATCCTTGCGCCCATGGCCCACCAAGCCTTCCATTCCTCCGGGATCGACAAATTGGTACGAGACTTGTCTGGGAAGATAGCAGCATTGGCACGATATATCGGTAAGCCACCGCGAATCATTGTGAAGACCAGGTATGAATTCAATCACTTCCAAACGATGTTTGATGAAGTCGAATGCATGGAGCATCCCCAAGAGTTTGATCAAAGATGGGAGCCTTACCCTTTATCCTTTATTGACACATCTTCATGTCTACTGTGGAGATCCGAGTACTTCTCAGATTCGATTCGTTTTTTCGTATCCATCATTCAGAAGTGTCTTTCAACGTTTACGTGTGGCCTTTGGTTGCTGTTTGAAAATTTTCATTCCATCTTAAATGTCGTGGAATGCTGGTGGACTCGGTTCTCTCTGGAGTCCTAAGATAGTTAGGCTGGAGCGTTCCTAATTCGTTTGCAGAGAGCGCCTTTTTCCGGACAAGTTCGGTACCAATTCCTTTATCCCGGAGGGTTGAGAGGCTTGGTGAGCATGAGATGGGATCGAACCATCACCATCCTCCTAACGATCGTCATCACTACCACTTTACCATTTGACCCTTTCAGTAAGACGATGCATATTGAAATTCTTGGACTTTGCAGTAGACACTCTTACTTAATTCGTAGGTGTCTTGAGAAAAAGCTTAATCTATGTAGTGTTTTCTTCGTCTATACAGGACTTCCCCTTGAAACTATTGTATGAAATGCAAGAACAGGTAGAAAAGTCGGGGAGAACATGCACTAATGACAATCCTACTAGGCGATTAAGAACAAACATTATTAGCTATTATATTAGTTCTAGTCTTGTAGTTCTTCCTAGTAGTGTTTGAATCGGCTTTCTTGACAGGATGATAAAAAATTTTGTTACTAGAAATAAATAAATGAACGAAATGTGAGGAAATAACTAGAAAAAATAATGAAAACCACTTGAAGGGGAAGGAACGAGGTAAAAAGCGAATTCGAATGGTATTCATGCAGTCGTGAGATTTTAAAAACGTTCATCTAAATTCATATCCGTTTAGTGATTCTGGATTTTGCTTTCGAAATACTGCCATAAATTAATAAGGAAGATAATACAAACACCCACACTAGTTATAAAGGGTGCGTGTAGCGGAGGTGTTGGAGCCGCGCTGCAATACGACAAACTCGGCGTTGGTTCGATCCTGCACCTCGGCTCACAAAGCAGTCCGTCCATCCGGAATCGGTAAATTGGTATCAGGCCTGTATAGAGGGATGGAAACACTAGCCTGATACTTCGTTAATGTCCTGAAGCAACAGAAAATTTTACATACCACGTATTCATTGACTCACCTTTACGATGACTGATGGAATCCAGTGCAGGACGCATTCCTAAGGGATTAGTCACATCGAATGCACCATGCTTTCGCCTTTTCATCACTTATAGTTTGGGTTGAACGAGCAGCACCTGCTAAAATAAAAACAAAAATAAAATGAAACAAAAAATAAGAAAATGATTCTGGGTAGTCATCGAGGACATCACTAAACTCTTAATTAATCCATGCTATTTGTAAGAACAGCCAAATGTTAGGTTTTGTTCGTTCGAGGGATTCAAAAATCCTCTATTTTTTCTTATGCGATCCTTTTTTAATACTTGAATGCGGAGCAAGAACCGACCGGTCGAGGAAAACCCTCGGACTATCGATCATTTTCTTCGTGATCTTCCTCACTGCGGGAATTGCTTGGCCTACGTAGACAGTAAAACGTTATATGAGAGATAGTTTCAGCAGTCATCGTAATTAAGCTTATTCTTAAGTCTAGTCTTAGAGTAACTCGCCAGGCTTTGCAGATCTTTCTAACTTTACTCTTGGCCAGCTTTCCAAGAACGAATGTCGACCCCATTCCTTAACTGGGTGACTCTCTTTGAAGTTGAACACATGGAACCGCTACGCAGTGCGCGACATGAACAAGTGCAACAAAGCAAAAGTTTTGTGTGATTTCCGACTAATCACGTTCTGATTTAAGTTATTTTGGTCCTATTGCCGATCTAATACTTCCATATCAAAAGAATATCTGTATAAGCTCGAGAAGAATCATGCTCATCGCTGTTTTTTTCTTAAGGAAAGAGCCTCTTATTATTGGTTGAAAGTCATTTTCTAAGTGAAGTATTGGTAGAATTCATATAATTCACTTAACTAACTTGTTACTTTGTAAAGTTCGTCGATTGTTTTTGCATCGAGAAGTAGTTCATAGACAGAGTCTGAAAACTGTTTAGGTGAATTGGTACATCAACGGGAAATTGGTACGACAATGTAGCCAGTTAGACAAAGTTCTTTTTCCCAACGTTTTTTTTTTCAAAAGAAAAAGAAGCGAGGTCATTACTTATTAATCCATTTGATGTCTCCATTTCTTTTTCTTCCCTATTCTGTCATCATCTCCATACTTGTCTCTCCTTTCACCACTCGCTCCTCCCGCTCTTCTTGTCTCTTTCTCCATGTCGTGTTTCATACGATGTAAAACCCATCCAGCTTTTCGCCTTGCCCTTTCTCATTTTCCTTTTATCGCCTTCGTTTCACTTTTTTCTGTAACTTCATTTTGGTTTTTTTTGTCGTTTTCATGCCTTCTTTCACAACATTTTCCCGCCAATATCGGTTTTCCAGATCATGAACTGCTCGGTTCCGCCTCCCGATCTTACGGTAACGTCATCAATTCTGTCCATTGTGTTCTGCTATATTATCGTCTTTATCATTTCATTCATCGGCAATTTTACAATGTTTCTTATCCTTTGCAGGTAGGATTCTTACCATTTAGATCACTTACGTTTTTTCTTTACAACTTTAACTACCAAACTGATGATTATGCCTAACGACTTTGAATAAAACACTTTAAAAACGCGTGGATACAGCAATGTTGGTTGATTGCTCACTAAGCTCAGATTCTGAATTTTTTTCATGCGATACAGATTTTCGCCGAGAAGGAAGTAGGAAATTAAGCAATTAATTAGCTGGCAATATTTTTTACGTAAAAGTCCGAGAAAGTGAAAGAAACTAGTGGGCGTCGTGCAAAGAGCTGGTAATCGTTATGACTACAGTTTTCTGTTTAGAATTTTCAAAGAAATTTCTTTTCTAATGGTATGAATCATATGCGCATGTACAACTGACAAACACCGTTTTACGTGCAAGGAATTTAAAACCTATAAAAGGAACAAAAAAGTGGTTACGATACTGAACGAGTGCTACTGGAGGCTGAGACGAGTATGGAAGGCATTAAAGTGTAGGAGGTGCTGAAAGCTCAGGAGTTTCAGGTGTTTTGGAAGCTTTGAAATTTGTTTGTGGATATCCATAGTTTCTGGAGTCGCTAACATACTCAATGCTTATTTTTTAATTTATAATCCACTATGAGGTTGGTAAAAGCTTTATTCGGCTACCGTTTCGTCGCCTTCGCCTTCAGAACAGGATTTTACGGGGTGGATTGTCACAGCTGTTCATTTTTCCAATAGCTAGAAAAAAAGAAAACAAAAAGGAAAGGAAAACAGAAAAAAGGAATTGGAGAAAAAGAAGATAAATAGCGAAATAGCTATAAAATATGCCTTTTTTACTGTCTATTATTTTTCCTTGGCAGCGTATTATGTGAAATACAACCACAATTTTGCTGAGATATATGCAAAACTCAGACCGTAGACTAGATTCGAACTCGCCATTATTAGCCAGGAAGGCTTGGCTTGATATGAGTAAAAATTGAATAAAAAGTTACATATTATAATTTCGACTAAAATCTTAATTTAATTGGTTTCAATAGCACTGTTAGGGTGAAAAAAAAACTGGTTGAGAAAAAGGCAAAAGAAAACCCTCAGTAGTGCAGTGGTTAACATGCAAGTCCCTGGAAGGAATAGTAACGTGTCTGCATCTTGCATGGGATTCGAATTTTGCAAATAGCTTAGCATCATTGCGGCTAAAACATATTTTTCACGGCTTAAATTCGGTTACAGGAATCAATGGATCAAAGTGCGACGTGTGCATTCACTGCTGCTACAAATGAACATCGCTCATTTAATCGTCACACTTTTCTATATGCCTAAAGAGATTCTGCACAACTACACTATCGCATGGTATGGTGGCGATATTGTGAGTTCAATATCTGAGTTACCGTATTGCTTTAATGCTGTGTATGTGTCGTTTGGTATAGTGCATTGCGACCGATTTCATAATGTATTGGAATGTTCCATAATAAAATGCACGAATAAAGAACTAGAAGACGCAGAATAGAAACCGGTAAGTGAATGCGTCGTTTTCTTTCTCAGCAATCGCGAGGTTGCTATACTGCATACATTTACTTCCATACAAAAACAGATGCATTACAACAGTGGCTGATATTTTGGTAGTGTCGCCTTCTTCAGATCTTGGAAGGGTGCACTGAGATGCAATTTACTAGGCCAAACAATTCAATGACACTAGAGAAGAACGAAAATCTGTGTGGTAATCACATGGTTAATGCTTCTCGAAAAACCCACCATTTTTTGCGTGTCTTCCATCGAGAAAAAGAAGAACAGCCGATCAGAGTCGCATATGGTTGATGACTGCACCACCCCATATCAAAAGTCGATGAGAAGATACGGCGTCAGATCACGAGTGACCTCTAGGCATTCGTTCCTGCTATTAATTATAGGGTTCTTAGCATTTATCCAAAAAGGCTCAGAAAGTTTGCGCGTTGGTGTTTGGGGATCCTGTGCGAGGACAGTGACTTTTATATCAAAATCGTCTCCTCTGTGTTTTTGTATCCTATGCGTCCCTAATGGGGTACTTAGACTTAGACTTGTTTTCGTTTTCCATCTAGGTGTTCTTTTATGTGGTACATAAAGGGTTGCCCGTATCGCCAATATTTTCATCACCGCAAGCACTACAAGAGATCAGAAATATCGAATCTGAACTCGTGCATTCACCGCTCCTGTCATAAGGGCAAATAACGCAATTTTGTGTTTTAACCACATTAGTCACAGGGAAGTGATTTTAAAAAAACGGTAAATATAAGAAAAAATCAACAAGCATCATTTAATGGCATGAAGAAATCCTTGTGAGATTTAGTGACCTTTCTCCGTTCAACAGTGGTTTATTCGTAATTTAGAAACTTCTTAGTTTTTCATTTCTTCGTCGTATTCTTTATCTTTCTTTTCTATCCGTCTTATTTTATTGGATTTTATTCCACTATTAATCCACTATTGCATAGTAAATTTTTTTGCCTCTGAACGGTTTACCGCCTCATCGTGGCTGGGAGATGTTACTGGGTGTCGGACTGCGACATACAGCGAGGGGATTCGTCTCGCTGGCAGGGTCTCTCAAGCTGAGAAGGAGTCCGTTTCCAATAGGAAGTCTGGCTAAGAGTAAACCAGTACCAGGTTACATCACCGTTCTGGTATCAAAGTCGCATGGTGGCAAATCTCCCTCTGATCCAAAAGGGCTGCGACTGCCCGTGGTGGTGAGGACTGGGGCAGACTTTGGCCAGGCTAACCTCGGAATTCCAGGAAACCACAATGGCTTAACCAGCAAAGCTCCGAACAATGGTGATTGTGCTGAGGTCCGCACAACCAGTGAGGTTGGGCCGTTCAAGTTCAAGTATCAAGTGTCCAGTAAATTTTTTTGAACACTAAAAGCTCATTTGTTTTCTACCCATCTTGAGTCCTGGTTGAAAGGAAACAACTTCGTCTGCTATTCGAAAAATGTTAATCCGCATTACTTCTATCAATATTAATATTATCGTTAACCACAGTGTTGCTGAGATATTTGCAAAACTCCGGGTAGCTGGTGTATGCGGTGGGTACCGAACACGTTACTAGCCTTTCCGGGGGCTAACGCGCTCACCACCACACCAGGCGAGTCCTTCGTTTTGCCTGTCCCTCAGGCGTGTTATTTTTCCCTATAGGTCTAAATAAAAATAAATATTGCCCTAAATAAAAATGCCGTCAATTTTATTATCGGTATTATTGCTGTTATTATTAGTATTGTTATTGCGATTACTACTACCGTTGTTGTTGCTGCTGATGTTGTCACAGTGACTGGTGCTGCTTAAAAAGAACGTTCGAACAAAGTTTTAGTTCATTAGATAGAATAACTTTGGAAAAAAAACTTCGAAAAAGACGTTGAAATTTTTCTGGAGTAAATACCGTTCAGCAACAACATTATAACAAAACGAAGTTCTATATTTTTAGACAATATTTTAAAGAGGTGCAGATCAATAACAGGGCTACCGTACTATCTTGGCGCCTCGTAGTTTTACGTGTTTCCTCCAGATTTTTCGTGTCCTTTACCTTTTTTTCTCGTTTTACAACATTTGTGCTTGTGAAGACATCAGTGAAGACTTTTCACATTAACTATCCATAGCTTCCGATTTTTATTGTTATTTGTTTTTACTTTTCGTTTGGAAACTATATGCTTCATATGTATTCTTTCTTTGGTAAGTTTACACGAAGTTGATAAACAATTTTTATTCGGCTAACGTTTCAAAATCTTCATCGTCATCAGAACCAATGATCCGAGTCGATCGTCCACGGTTTTTCTACGTCTCGATGTGGCATTTTCGCCTTTGTATCGAGTTGTGTCTTCCGCAGCGGTCCCTTTCGAATAAGGCATACTCACTCGGTGATCCCCTTTTATGCAGAATGCTGATGGTTGACAGTAGTGATTATCCGGTAATAACAACGTTTCCTTCCGAACAATACATCCTGCTGAAGTCGGTTTCATTATCAGCTAGCTAAGAGCAATAACAATATTTCGAAACAAATTTTCCTTTAACCTTGGTATGACCTTGGTAATCAATATGTTTTCTTTCAATTACAGCTTACGCGAGGTTGATAAAAGATTTCTCGTGTAGGTATATCAAAGAAGGACTACATGTTAATTAGTAATACCAAGGTTAAAGGAAAGTCAGCTTTGAAATAATTGCTTCATAGTTCATATTATTAAATCTACATGAGTTCACAGTTCTCCATGTGTCTCCAAGTATTCCAAGCTAGTATAAGGAAGTGTTCCTTCTTTCTTACTGACGAGACTAATCATTCGTTTTAAATAGTCTCTTTATATATTATGCTTGCATTTTTTCTTTCTTCCTTCTCATTTCTATTCATCAATGATACACGGGTTTTTCTACTGCAGTAAAATATGCAGATCGATTAGATGTTTCATTTCCTTTATCTTTTGAGCTCTTCAGTGAAAGGAATCACATGCAGAGAACATTATAGCTTTGAACTAGAGCATATTGTGTAAAGGCTGGAAAAGAAAAATTTAAATATTAAAAAATAAAAAATCGAAGTATGTAATAAAATGAAATATGTATAAATCAAAAATCGCTTGAAAGAAGGAAGAAAATATCAAAGCCTTGAAATAAACATTAAATTAATAGCCCGAGGTTTACTGGAAGTCAGTCATCCGAATCATTGAATGAAAAACTTCGAATTACTAGAAAAGCAGCAAAGTTAAGCAATTTGTTTGTAAATATTGAGAGAAAGATTATTTAGATGTTTGAAAAATTATTCTTATTAAATACTTGCTGTTGTGTTCATGAGTCGAATCGGTTTGGCAGAAGCGGAATTTCCACCTTTGTTACTTAATGAGCAAGATTTTCTTCCCGTAAGCTCCGACAGGGGAGTTCAGGATGTTCTCAGACCGTCAGCAACAGCGCCTGCCGTTCATTTATATGGATCGGTGTAAGATTTGTTGCGACCGAATTCCTTTCATAAGGTTGAAAAATCCAGATTTAGGCATCGGTTCCTCGTTGATTTCGATGTTGGTGTTGAGGAATCCCA